CAGCCGTTTCTGGCGGGGCAGTGGTCTGCTGTGGAGAGGCAGGTGGGCCAGGAGCCCCGGTGCTTCCTCGTAAGGGTTGGCAGGGTTGGGAACCATGGCCACTGAGCAGCAATCTGCTGCAAGAGGAAAGGAGTGGGAGAGAGGGCAGCAGGAGTCCTGGCAGCAGGACTGCAGGCTGGCAGAGCCCAGAGCACCAGCAGTGGGGCAGTGGTTTGCTGCAGCGAAGCTGAGAGCCCTGGCAGTGGGACCATGGGCTGGTGTGGCAGGGCAGTGGGACCATGGGCTGGTTGCATGTGGGGAGCCCTCCGGGAGGCCAGGCCAGGAGTGGAGCCGGGCTGAGGAGGGGCACTGGCAGGAGAATAGAAATGACCTATCCTGGTCTGACAAAATCCCTCCTTCAGGACCACTCAGGTCCCAGAGAGGTCCAACTTGTATAAGTGATTGGGTACAGAAGGGGTTACACAGCTAGAGATTATATCCTTTGCATGAGGCAAGTCTCTTCTATCCATTCTGTCATTTCTTTAAAAGTGTAGGTCAGGGGTCTCCAACCTTTTCAAGCACCAGATCACTTTTTTAATTTAAATGTAAATCCAGGATCCACAGCAAACCAAAACACCCTTGCCCCGCCTCCTTCCTACCCCTTTTCCAAGGACCCACCCCTGCCCACTCCATCCTCCCTCCTTCCCTATCCTTTCTCCCTTACATAAGGCTGGGGGCATAGGGCTGAGGTGCGGGGAAGGGGGATGCAGGCTTTTGGGCTAAAGGAGTTGGAGCTGGAGTGGGAGGGCTTCTGAGCTGAGCCTAGGGCAGGGAGTTGAGGTGCAGGAGGGCGTTCAGGGGGCAGGCTTCAGGTGGGAGTTCAGATGCAGGGGGACTCAGGGCTAAGGCAGTGGTTTGGGGTGCACGAGGGGTTCAGGACTGGGGCTGGGGTTTGGAATGCGGGCTCCAGCTGGGCACTGCTTACCACAGGTGGCTGCAAGGCAGAGGGCAGAAGCAGCAAAGCAGTGCTGAGGGGCAGATGAAGGGCCAGCACTTGACAGCCTCCTGGCCAAACCTGTCAGGATCACCTGTCAGAGGCTCCAAGATCACTGGTTGGTGACCACTGGTGTAAGTGATGTCTCGGATTTCTCTATCTGTCCATTAAACAAATCCTGCTATCTAATTCCTCAGATGAATTTGTTCCTGAGTACATAATGGCAGTCACATTGGTCAATATGCTCCCAGTTTTTTTAACTTGATGTTTTGCAGCACTTTAGGATAATTTTGGTATGAAAGATGTAACTTTTATATAAAACTGTGCTATGTTCTTTTGGTCTAAAGTTGTTATGACTATATGTGTGAAATAATTTTTAAAAGGAAAGAGGATTTGTGTATGTGTGTGTGTTAAAAGGAAAAAGGATTTGTGTGTGTGTGTGTGTTGTCTATTGATATTCTTCAGTGTCACTGATGCAGTAGACTCAACCTGAGAGCTAAAACATCCTTATTTCTTGAAATAAACTAGAGCTCTGATCTTGCAAATGCTTATGTACATAATGGTCCCAATATCTGGGACTTATAGGAGTTTCTAATCACTGAGGTATGTAATATATTGTGTATTTTGTAAATTGCAATACACTTAGCTATGGATAATGTAAATGACAGCCTTAACTTTGGATTTCTATATTTTTGTTATTTGTTATATTTGTTATTATTGTATCCTACCTTTAATGTTATTACACCAATACCATCATTATGTTAGTATTGATTTAAAAGTATCAGGGATTCAGTAGCGGCCATAAAGCATTTTACAGGTGGTGCAGAACTGGCCTTTAGAAGTGAACAGCTGCTGCTGTGGGATGTATATTCTGAAAAGAACAGTGTGGTCTATTGGAGGCAACTTAGACAAGTGCATGGAAATGGCAACACAGAAAATATTGGCTCTTATGTATCCAGACAATGAAAGCAATAACACAGAAAGTAAATGATGTGTAAGGTTACAGCTCTTAAAAACTGTTCTAAAATTTACACCTAAAAATAATTCAGGTCTGTATTATATTACTGCAAGAAAACAGTTCTTACATTGAATTTCTTGCAATAATTCCCCCAAGAGTAACAACCATCTCTTTCTCTAATGAAACAACAAGTATTATAAATTGCTTTTTTTTATTGTTGCATTGATGAGCAAATGTCACGTTAGAGACTATATTGTGTCTCTCTTTGAAGAATAACGAATACAATGAGTGTTGATTATTTGCCAGTGCTAAGAAACAATACATTGACAAATAGCCCTCATTTGGATTTTTCCCTCTAGTAAACTGAATCATCATCATTGTTTTCTTTCTCTCTTTATAAAACAGCTTTTCCTGCGGGACAACAGAGTGACATCATCACATCACTCTGCGTTCACAGGAACAAGCCTCATGCATTCCCAGCCTGGGTGCTGTGGCCCTGGCCTGGACAGTCCTTCCTTTCCCTTCCCTCCCCTCCCCAGTGGCCAGAGGAGAGCCCTAGCTGCCATGGCTAGCTCAGCCCCGGCCCTCCTCCAGTACCACTCCAGCCCTCCTCCAGGGCCGAGAGTCCCTGGCCTGCTGTGGGTGATCTCATTCTGACCGCCACACTCATCATAACAGTGCTGCTGAAATAAATACTGCAGAAGACACATGCCAAAGTGTTCTTCTCAATAAATCCAATTCTCAACATTGATCCAGGTACATGAGAACTTGTTCTGCCTTTTCACTAAAATCAGTCACTGAGCTTGCAGTAGTTGATTTTAGAGAAAGTACATAGCCATGCATCACTGTAACATACCTAAAACAAAAACCTTTACATGTCAGGTTGAGCTTTTAAAAATTAAAAAAACAAACAAACTCATGGATCAAATGTGTCTCTGGTATAACGCTGGAAGAGATAAATATTGGTCATAAATGAATTGAATTGAATTTACTATAAGCTACAGGTCCTTAACACTTTTGTGTTAAAATCAGATTAATTATGAGTCATATGAACATATACCATATTGGGCTTTATGAATTAAAGAACAATGAAGTCTTGTATTGCAGTGAGGTTTCTGTGTGCACCACAGAGCAGTAGTTTTGTATTCAGAAAACAAAAGAGGACAAATTAGATAGCTACAGAGATAATTTACAGCTTGCAGATTCTAACACCAAACCCCCAGACTGTACAGAACAGCTCTTAGTGGGACATTGTAAATGAATGTCATATCATTTTAAAAAAGGATAACCTAGAGTCAACTAAATATATACAGAGGAAAGCATTCCCAAAATGTTTTATAGCTGATTTGGCAAACTTGGATTTTCTGAAATTCATAATTATATAAAGTTATAATACCTTTCCTTTACAGACTTTATTAGTAATTAAAAGTTTACTTCTAAAACAATAAATTGGTATTTTAAAATTCTCTTGTTTATGTTAACTAGGCACCACGGGTAAAGTACAGCCATCTTTAATAATCAGAAATCTGTAATTTTGATTCTGCAGGGAGCATTGCAGCCTACCAGACCTGTTCTGAATTTGAATACTTTTTGATTAATTTTTATGCAGCATTTACCTACAGTGCATGTTCATCTTAATCCATGAGTCTGAGCAGTATCTCCTGGTTTCTTTGTAGGATTGTGGAAAAAGGATATTACAGTGAGCGAGATGCTGCCGATGCTGTTAAACAAATCCTGGAGGCAGTTGCTGTAAGTATTAATAGGATCATAGGCTCAGTACATAATAAGCTTTCATTTATTTGGAATAATTGCTTAATAAGTACACAGGTGTGAAAGAAACAGCTGTTTCTTGTAGCTTGTCTATATATATTCATTTCTACAATTACTTTTCTATCAATCCCTCGAAAGAGGTCACATCTCAGAGGCAAAGGTGACCTTGAGTGACACCAATGTCTCATGTTATAATCCATCTGCTCTATCTGAATTAAAGTTCTTTATCATGACACATTTTCAAAAACCTGCAAAATTTAGCATTGGTCGTTAGGACAGAAAATGATTTGAGATCACCAGCCCTTCTGTAGTCTTCCATTCCAATTTTTGTGAAGTACATTACCATCAGTTATTTAGGATTCCTTTTTATACTGAAGAGAATGCATTACTTTTCCATCCAATATTGAATGAATGAATTAGTCAGATTGCATTGAATTTTAAATAAATCTGAGTGTGAATTTCCTGGAGAATATAGCCAAGAATAGAGAGATCTTGCTGTATTTGTGGTCTCTGCCTGACAAATGCTCCTTTGCGTATGTTAATATGTACACAGAGGTCTCCAAACACATCACATACCATCTTACGTGGCTGCTCAACAGAGAACATTCAATCAAGATGGATTATGGGGTATCAGTAGTTTAAATTGCAACAGAATGTCTGCTTTAAGTCCCTGCCCAAAGATGTTTCTCAGTCAAGCCACTTTCATTGCTGTAATTTTTTCTAAGAATGGTGAAGTTAACATGCAAAAACATGGTTTATGTGGAATAACTTTCCAGAAATTCCACAATGCCCTGTGCACCTTGCGTTCTTCTAGAATGATGTCACAAAGCTCAGCTATTCTGTGACCAGAAAATATGACATTAAGGTTCCATTTACAAGACCACTCATTTTGTAAGAAAAAACAGCAACACACCAACTTGAATTCTGCATTGCCTGGCTTTCTAAAGTGATAGTTCCCACAACTTTAACCCTGCTACCTTTGATTCCAGCCCTATGAAGGAGCTCAACAACACCTTATTCCTTCGGAGGTGTTTTTTTGCGTAGTGTGATCTCTGCCAACCATTTTCTACTACTCCACAGACCAAGTGGTGCATCATAGATCATTGTGATGGCTCATGGAAGTGCATTTGTAGGAATGATGATTTTGGGTGGTGATAGATATACAGAAATTGATGATACAGATAAATTACTGTGCTGTTTCCTGTTGCCATCTCTGTGAGTAGGGCCCTGTTAAATTTGCAATTCATTTTGGCCAATTTTACAGTCATAGGATTTTTAAAATAATAAATTTAATTATTTCAGGTATTTAAATTTGAAAAATTCACTGTGTTGTAATTATAGGAATCCTGAGCCAAAAAGGAGTTGTGGGCGGGGTTGCAAGGTTATTGTAGGTGATTGCAGTATTGCTTCTCTTACTTCTACACTGCTGCTGGTGATGTGACTACCTTCAGATTTCTGTGCCCAGCCAGCAGACACTGCTCTCTAGCCCCCAGTTTTGATGACTACAGAGAAGTAAGGAGGGGCAATATCATGACTCTCCCCAATAACCTTTTCATTCCTCTGCAACATCTTATTGAATCAGTCCCCCAGTTTGAAAAATGCATATCCTCCTACACCCATTAATTCCAGACCATCCTAGGTCCTTCATATTACCTCTTCCTAGTAGAGTTCTGGGGAATTTGGCACAAGAAGCTCCTGAGTGTGCCCTGTGGGCAACTCCATTTGCCATTAGACTCTGTTGAGGCTGCCTTACTTCCTCTATGCCCTTTTCCTCCTTCAGGAGCCCATCCAATAGGAAAGTGAGGCTGTGCTTGGGATGGGGCCAAGCATCCAATCAAACTCTTTGTAGAATGGGCATGATTTTGGTGATATGGCAGGGGGGGGGGTGTGATCCTTGACCTTCCTGCACATGGTCTCCCGAAGTGTGATTTTCCTTTGGCACTGACATCCTGTCCATTGAATCTTTCTGCTTAGAGATGTTTAGCAGTTCTAAGGGGAAATTTCTAATTTCCCCTAAATTATGGGACTACCTGGTCTCATACCAGAGGTTCACCAGAAGCTTGATGTTAGTTTCTTACCAGCTGGCAGCACATTGGGAAAATTTCTCAGCTGGCATCTCTGGTCAAATGCTATGCAAGGACAGAAGAAATGTAGTGATCACTGTGCAGTTTAAACAGCAACCCAATGCAGGTGACTTTTGTGCCGAAGTGGGGAGGCAGAGAGGGAGAGGACAGGAAAGATCAGCCCAGTTGGAACTGTGGGAAGGCATGGGAGGACTAATAATTCCTGGGCTTTTTTACCCTGCATCCTCACTGTAAAGTAGCTATTCTGCCAGCCATTTGTTTTGAGGCAAATGTTTGACTCAAACCTTGTATATTGATCTGGATTTAAAGCACCTTCAAACCAGAGTGAGAGAGACTGGAGGACGGAGCTAGAGGTTCAAAACCCTGCAGTCTTCCATTCCGCTCCCAGGAATGTGGACACTATTAAAGTCTGTTGGTCTCTGAGTAAGGAAGTGGGAATGCACTTAACAGCATGCTGCCTGATGATTCCGAGAGAAACTGAATATAGTGCATTTCCGTTAGGGTATGTCTAGACTACATCCCTCTGGCGCCAGAGGGATGTAGTCTAGACATACCCTTACACTAAACAGTGGACTAAGAGACTGGCCAGTTGTGAAAAGTCTATTTAAATGACTGGACTAGTACTGTTTGAGAACCTATTTCAATAGTTCAGAAGTGTGAATTGATCTTTGCTTGCATAACTTTCACACTGGTGACTCTTTGCTTGCTTCATGCTGCTTTCAGATCTATTCTGACTGCAGACTGAGGCACTCTTCTCTTAATGTAGTCTAAATGATATTTATACATTCAGTATTGTGACGGTCTCCCAGCACAATATATTTCTATGAGCTTACTCTTATCTATAATGATTACTTTATGGACACATTTCTGTTCACAATGAAGTGTACCAATTAAGCGGATTCTGCAGTATTTAATTGTGAGAACCTTGTGGCAAAGATGACTGTGTTGTGTTACAAAAAAAGATGTTGTCATCTCTGATTCTGAAAGACCCAGGAGCCTCTACTTGTGTAAATGAATTGTAACTTTCTTGATGTCAGTTGAACTGTGTCCATGTATAACAGCTGAGGATCTGGCCCCAGATGAGTACGAGTAGCCAGGTTTTATCAAGTTGTGCTGTACAGTGTTTGAGCTTTGACATCTTTCACAAAGCAGTTACTGGTGCAGAAAACACACATGCAGTCCACATTTTGAATCTACACTTCAGGCATCTGCAATACATGAACTGTGAGGGATGATCTTTTGCTGCTAAGCCACTTGCTTCTGCTATCAGTTCCGAGCCATCCACTTCCGTACTTATTCAGCTCCAGGTCCCTGGCAAGGCAAGCTCCTGATTCCCCATCTTGGTTTTTTTGCAGATCTGGGAGACTCAGGCCTCTGCCTTCATTGCTGGGGAGATTATGCCCACATTCTCCATCACATGTGACCATGCATTTGTCAGGGTCCCAGACAAACCACAAGACAGGCTTGAGTTGGTGTAAGAAATCTATAGAGTTTAAACCATTCCTCATACTTCTCCTGGCTAAGGGTCCCCTGCAACAGTCTCAGAAGGCTCATCAGGGCTCTTCCAGCCTGGCCAATTGTCCTTTTATAAACAAGTAAAGAAAAACAGCCCCAAGACAAAACTCCTGGGCCAGGCTTTCCTCCTTCTGAAGAGGCTCTGGCAATCTGCAGAGGTCCTGGGCTGACCTTTTCTGTCAGGGAGCAAAGCATGGCTATTCTCCCTGGTCAGCCAGCACCTGAGCTGCTCTTCCCCTTTTAACAATCACTTTCTTAATGACAGTGAGTTCAGGATCTGAGTGGGCCCAAAGCAACTCATTAGCCTTGTTGGCTTGGTGTGGGGTTGGTATATTCCATCATGCAACAGTACTAACTCTGATGTTCTGGACAAACACCAGTATGGATAATGACATTCTACTTGCCTGCGCTTCTCCCAGTATTTTCTGTTCGATACATTATTGTCCACTTCTAAGTTGACCATGTGCCTCATTTTGGCCAGGACAGTCCCCTTTTCAAGCTTTGTCCTGGCCATCCTGACTTTTTTGTTACAACTGGGTATTTGTCCTGTTTGTTCTTGCCAATTGGACAAATGTCCAGTTTTGCCCAACAGACAGGGTGCAACCCACAGTGGGGCATGGAAGAACACGAGCAGTTGAGGGTGAGTGGCAACACCAGCCCCACAACAGGAGGTAGGGCTTGGGAGAGTAGTTTGGGCTGGGCCAGCCCCACTCTGCTTTGATCTCCTTACAGTCTCACTAAATTTAACTCACTGCATTCTCTAGCTCTTTTGAATCTCCTGAAGCACTTGTCTTTGAATGAACTCAATATAAAATTTGAAGAATAGGTCAAATACATCCAGAGTGCATTGTAACCAGCCTGTAGGATGCCAACACCTGCCTCCTAGCCACAGGTGGAGGTCTGAGAGAGAATCCCTTGGAACCAGTACATTCTAGAAAGAGGGGAAATCAACCCTTCCCCATGCCTGCTGCCTGGAAAAGAATGGCAAATACTGTACATTGGCTGCATACAGAGGACTAGGAATCCATGACAGTGGCTAATCCTTCTCACTACCGTGTTCTCACGTGGCTTAACAAAAAGAATCTCCTGTCCTGGCAACTCTCCATCCCAAGCATAATGAGAAGTGGGAAATGGGATGCATGTTCCTCTGCATGACGAAGCAGTCTCTCCTCACTTGGCCTTATCTACACTAGGCAGTCGTACTGTTACAGCTCACAATGGGTGTAACTTGAAACCTCACCCACGTATCCATGCTAGCTAGTCTAAACCTTTTAATAACGATGTACGGTACATACCTCCAGCTGCTGCAGGGCCAGTACATTGTTGGTATTTATCTCGCAATGCCAAACACAGGTCCCGGAACAGGAATTTATATAAGTA